TGATAACGATACATATACTTGCGTAGTATCTCAATATAAATATATATAAATTAAAAAGTTAAATTCTTATTTTTCTTCAAGATCAAATTTTTGGTTTTGTTGAAAAATAAGGAAATATAAGTGAAAAATACCCTCAGAACTATTGCTATACTTTGCATAAGCATTAAGTCTGTGTATCATTCATCAACCACCAAAAAATTCTCAATATTAGGGACTTGGCTTTCACCCTCTCCTCAGGTGACAAACAATTTTATTATATCAAGGGCCTCCTTTCCTTCCCCAGATAACCCATACAAAGGGCCATTCAGCGCAACCATATGATCGGTTGATAGGTTCATCATGTCGAAAGCGGATTTGAATAGAATTTTCCCTGAGCTACCTGTGTCAACCAGAATACTACCCATCTGATTATTTTTAATCATTGTTGTAATGATGATGATGTCATTGTGCGGATTCCCTACAGGGGGTAAGTTAACATTAGTAAAAATCATCGGGGGATGGGGCTTCCTCTTTGAAATGGAAGCAATAATGTGGCACTCTCTCGATCAACTCCTTTTTCGTTTGGGTCTTCTGCCAGAGTCTCCTCCAAGTTTGCTATCCTTGTGATGTGGATAGAGTTAGCTTGGACATGCCCATCCAAGTCATATTCCTCAGGTGTTTTCCCTTGTCGCTGAGTGTGTTCAGGGCTGACAAACACTTTTAGCTTTCTTGCTCAAATTTACTCTTCGATCAAGCTATCAAGGTGCCTGCACTACTCTGTATTGTGGCCGTGTTATTTATGGTAATTGCAAAACTTATTGGTGTTCAACGGGAAGGCTTCAATTTTTATTGGCGAAGCTTTTCAGAAATATTCCTTATTCCGAATAGCTTCCCAATTTAAAGCCGAGTGATCATTCAATCAGTTGCATATTCGTGTATTTCAATCGGCCTCTCAATCTCTGTGGAATGACCAACCTCTTTCAAGCTAGGGTGAGGGCCTCTTTCTCCCTTCACCCATCGTTCCATGAGGCTTTCTTGCCCGATTAACAGTCAAACTTATTGCCTTTTGAGATAGGTGAATTTACGTACTTCTCCGCTGTAATGTGGTCGTTGGCCAACTCTAATAGTTCGACCAAAGTTTCGGATTTTCACAAACCCATGAAATACCTACACACTCTTCAACCCTTGCACATGGTAGCCTTTGCAATTTCCGGCTCTAGATTCTGCACTTCTAGCATATCATTTCGGAATCGCGTAACACCCCTGTAGGTCTCGCTCGGTCCTTGCTTGTCATGTCATAAGGATTCTGAATCCTAACAGGCTTTTTAAGCGCTAGCGACTTGCACAATAAGTAGCTTCTTGAACTCTCCAAAGGAAGCGATAATCCTAAATGGGAGTCCGTTGAACCACTTGAGAGTCAAATCTCTCATCATGGTATAAAACAATCTGCACTTCATTGCGTCAAAAACTTTGAGGAGGCATAATGTTAACTCAAAGGACACAATGTGATTGATCGAATCACTCTGACCTTTGTATAACTCAAGAGATGGAACCTTGAACTTTTTCGGGTCTCTGTATCAATGATCTGTTGGTAGAACATATTCTCTAAGAGGAGGTAAAAATCCATTCGGCCCACTTGCAGTTAGATCCTTGGTATGGATTCAACATTATCTTGGTACTGGGATTATTCTTCCACTTGTTTAACACCTTAAGCCATTTGATGACCTTGGGGTTCAAGTATTGGAGGATTAGATTGTGGGAGACGTTGCGCTCTCTCCTCAAGCACTTTATGGGTTAGTTCCACAATCTGACCTACCATTCAATCTATGAGCTTCTGTATTCGTTGTTGCATGTATTCTTTGACGAACTCCATATTAAAGGTTTCTCCTAGGTCTGTTCCTTCTCCCTGACACGCTTCTCTTCTTGTTGAAGACACGACTCCACGCTCACTGCACATTTTAGAATATTGAATATCAAAATCTTTTTCGGGTCATGCCTGAGGAATAAAGCGTTGGTTGGATGAGAGAAATAAGTGAAAGTAAAGGAAGAAGAGTGAAAGAGTAATCAACAAATATTACTAATTCTCTAAGAATAGATTTAGTTTTCTTTTTTGTGGAAACGGCCCCTTATTTATAGGTCATAGGATTTGTCTAGTACATTACAAGATTGCCTCTCACTTAAAGAGAACATTACATTGAATTTATGAGCTATTAAACATTTACATATTTATAACCGACGTTGACATCTTTTGACCTTGATAACTGCCATTGGTGTCATCTGTACTTGTAAATGCTACCGGCACCATTTCGTATTCGTAATTGCTTGACTTGTTTGTTTGAACGTCACTCGGTTGACTAAAAGTAATCCAGCTGACTGACAGATATTCGATAGGTTTCTCTGAGGGAGCCCCTCATGAAGACCTATTTTCCTTAGGAAGGGTTAGACAATTGGTGCATCAGTGTAATCCAATTGGCAACCATTCTTTGGTCGAGAAATCTTCATATAAGGTTAGGTGGGATTTTCGCTAAGAAGCCATTGATCTTATGAGTGCCATTGCATCAGTTATATTGCGATCGGTCTAGGTGCGTAACTAATTTTGGTTTGAACAAAATTTCATTCGTGTCAACCCATGATTCAACTAACTGAATGAATGCTAGATGACTCAATCTTCTGCTATTTTTTTTATATAATCTATTGAACTTTTTTGAAATTCATGCAGACACATTTTTTTTTCAATGTGCACTAAAATTTGAGAGATTTCCATGGTATTAAGGAGGCACGGGTCTGAAAACCAATATGACTTTCGTTGCCGTAAAAACCCAAGCTCCGTTTTGGCCCCAAGCGCCTCACCCCTGCGCCTCGCCAAGCTGCACGTCGCAGACTCCCGCGCCTCCCCGGAAGTTCTCTCCTTCGGCCTCCTCATCCAACACTTCTCCGACTGCGGCCTCTTCCTTCATGGGCGGCAGCTCCACGCCCGCCTCGTCCTCCTCTCCGTCATCCCCGACAACTTTCTCGGCTCCAAACTCATCTCCCTCTACTCCCGCTCTGGCAACCTTTACGACGCTCGCCTCATCTTCGATGCCATCCCCATCAAGAACCTCTTCTCCTGGAACGCCATGCTCCTTGCCTACTCTTTCCATGGACAAACAGCCTCCTTTTTCCGCCTTTTCTGCTCCATTCCCACCTCTCTCCGTCCCGATGCCTTCACCCTCTCCTCCCTCCTCAAATCAATCTCCTCCCAAACCAGCGTTACCGCGACAAAAGAAGTCCACTCCTTCTCCCTACGCCTCGGCTACGACTCCGACTTGTTCGTTTCAAATGGTTTGATAACTGTCTACTTGCGCTCCGGTGATATCTCATCTGCACGGAAGCTTTTTGATAAAATGCCTGAGAGGGATGTAGTATCCTGGAATTCGATTATTTGCGGATATGCTCAGGAAGGACACTACGCTGCTTGCATTGAACTCTATCAGGATATGAAAATGGGAGTAGATCGAGTGATGCCAAATGGAGTAACAGTTGCTAGTGTGCTACTCGCTTGCTCTCAGCTCAAAAATCTTTTATTTGGAATGGAAGTCCACAGGTTTGCCTTGGAGAGTGGGATGGGAATGGATTTCGTGGTCTGCAACTCCATCATTGGGCTATATGCAAGGTGTGGGAGCTTAGACTATGCTCATAGTTTGTTTAATTGCATGGTTGAAAAAGATGAAGTTACTTACAACACCATGATTTCTGGTTATATGTCTTATGGGTTTGTTGATCAGGCAATGAAACTCTTCCATCTGATGCCCGCTCCAGTTCTCAGTACCTGGAATGCAGTAATTGGTGGTTTGGTTCAAAATAATTGTTTCTCACACATTCTCGACTTGTTTCAAGCCATGCAAACTGCTGGTTTTAGGCCTAATTCTGTAACAATTGCAAGTGTTCTTCCTGCCGTTTCCTGTCACTCGAACCTATTGAGAGTGAAACAGATACATTGTTATGCCATTAAGAATGATTTTGATCAAAATCTTTATGTTTCAACTTCACTTATTGACGCATATGGCAAAGCTGGATTTCTCGAAGGTGCAAATTGGGTTTTTGAGCGAACCGCGTCTAGGAGTGTCATTGTTTGGACCGCCATTATATCAGCATGTGCGATCCGAGGCGATGCTGATGCCGCACTTGCCTTTTTTGGTAGGATGCTTCAGGTAAGGATGCAGCCAGATTCTGTAACTTTCACTGCAGTTTTGTCTGCTTGTGCTCATGGTGGGGAAGTTAAGGAAGCTCACAGTATTTTACATGTTTTGATGCCTGAATGTGGGATTTCTCCAGCAGTAGAGCATTATGCTTGCATGGTTGGTGCACTCAGCCGCAAAGGGATGCTTACAGAAGCTGTTGAGCTCATTGATAGGATGCCAGTAAAGCCAAATGGTAAGGTGTGGGGAGCTTTGTTAAATGGAGCCTCAGTTTATCGTGATGTGGAGCTAGGAGAATATGCTTTTGGACGGTTGTTTGAGATTGAACCTGGTAACACAGGGAACTTTATTTTAATGGCTAATTTATATTCGCAAGCTGGGAAATGGAAGGAAGCGGAGAAGGTGAGGGAGAGGATGAAGGGAGTGGGATTGGCTAAGATTCCTGGTTGTAGCTGGATAGAAGGAAGCGGCGGAATGCAGGTGTTCATCACTCGTGATGTAAATAATGAGCATTCTGAAGAAATATTTTTTCTTCTTGACGCTTTAGTTGGAATGATGAGAGAAGAAGGTTATCTTACCAAGGAGGAACTGGATGAAGAGAGCTGCTGCCAATAAATTCTTCAGGGAACTGTAAGCAAACGAAAGAAGGCTTGAAATTTACCATAAAATTAGAGGAAATCATGAAATGAACGAAGATCTCCAGCTCGATCATGTAAGTAAATTTTTTATATTTTTTCTTTCTTCATGCTTGCCACTTTCTATGCATATGGCTGATGCATTTATCGTTATTCCTGGAGCCTTGTTTTTTTAAACTATTTTTATTCCTTGATTTTCACATGGTAAATTGTGGCTTTCATTTTGTTTTTTTTGGCTCTTTGTTTTTATTGGCTATTCAGTTAGCTAGTCTTAAAGGTCATGTTAGGTCCTTTAAAGTTGTTTCCTTTGTTCGGATACATCTTAAAATCACAACTATTTAGATTTCAGCTAACTCAAGATGGCCTATTGTTTGGATAAGATGGATGCTCTAATATCATTTGTTGTAAAATCATGTATCAAGAACAAATTCGGTGTACATGAAAATAAGCAACAACGAGATCTAACAAGTAGAAGATATCAAACAAATTTGCATATAAATAGGACAAATATCAAGCGAGCAACAATAGCCTATACACGAGAGAGGAGAGAAAGCATTCCACTATTAAGAAATCAAACGAATTTATAAATAAAAAAAGATAAAAGAGAGTATTTTCTAAAAAACTTAAAAACATACTATTTCATCACAAAAAGAGTTTCATATTTTTTTAAAAAAGTAGGAAAATCTTCTAATTTCACATTGAGATATGAGAACCATATATAGAGATAAACAAGGAGATAAAAATATACCAAAAAGTTGGGATGCAAGTTCATTTCAAACTACAATGGCATGTGGTATTCTATAAGGGTTTAGACATGAATATAATTAGGTTGGGACATTAACACTCATTGGACATGGCTGTTGAGTGTGGAGCTTGACTGGAAGTAGTAGGAAGCAGCCAACCACAACAAAAACGCTCAGGAGCCAGGGCAGAGCGACGCACCATGTGGGACGCCCCCCGCGTTGGGTTCCCAAGCAAGTGACGCCTTTGCACAATTTTCAGAGTGCCTCCGTGCTTGGTTATAGAGAGCACAACACCCCAGAGCCAGGTGCAATTTCTCTTCTGATTTGGTTAAAATTCACGATTTTGAGCGATGAAAGTAGGCTCTCTGGCGTGCGGTTCTCTCAACAGGTTTCTCATGAAGAAGAAAAGGGTCAAAAAGGAGGATTTTAGCGTGCATTTCTCCTATGAGATCAAGAGGAAGGGCAACAAAGTCCTGCAAGTTTTATTCATTGTAGAGAGGAGATCTGAGTGAGTATTATGTATATTTTTTGCTCTTCCTTGAAAAAATTCCTTTGTGATGTGGCTCATTGATTATTTTACGTTCTCGATTTTTTCAAGTAAAATTTTGGTGTGTTTTTTCTTGATTATTTTTTGTTGTGCTTCTGTTTAAATACTTTGTTTCGATTTTCTTGAATCAATGCGATCATATTCCGCGATGTGGTTTTGATTTTTAATTTGATCGAAACCCTATTAGAAGTATAGAGAGATTTCCATCATCCCAACAAAGTAGTATCAAAAAGGAGTGTTGATTCGAGTGGGAATAATGACTGAAAAAATAAAATAAAAAGTGGAGAAGTTCAATGAGACGAACTTTGCGATGCGGAGGATGCAAGTGGAGGATTTGTTGTATCGGAAAAAACTGTATTTGTCATTACGAGGCATCACATAGAAATCTGAGTCTATGACTACGGAGAAATGGAAAGTGCTGGATCAACTAGTCTGTGGAGATCAATGTAGTGAATGGGAAAACTACTCTGAACCTCATGATGACACTGACAAATATGTATAAAAATCTTCTGCTTTAAATATATATTTTTTAATAAACAGACTATTCAACATGAAGATAGTGGAAGATAGTTCAGTGCAGAACATGTGAATAATTTCAACACTGTAGCGAGACAATTGTGTTTTGTAAGGATCAGGTTTGATTATGAGGTAAGTGCACTACTGATACCGACTTCATTGCTGGGCAAATGGGATGGTTTGGTCATGACGGTGAGTAATACTTCCGTGAATATGAAGTTGAACTTTGATGACACCAAAGGCTTGGTGCTGAGTGAAAAAGTTTATGAAAGTCATTGAATTGTGAATCATAAGGTTCTGTGTTGAATGCGAAACATAAAAGAAGAAATTTAGACAAAAAATTGGACAGAGACAAATTCAAGTCTAGAAAAAGAAAGTCCAGGTCAAGTAGAGGAAATGATAGAGGAGAATGTGAAACTATGAAAAGAAATTGCATTTCAAAAAAGATTGTAAAAGTTCAAGGAAAGCTGGTGGCTAAGGACATGAAATAAATCTCTCTACAAATTTCTCTGTTGGCGAAATTCAAAATGACTCTCTGGTGTTATCTCTAGTAAGCACTAAATTTTGGATAGTAGATTCAACTGCTTATTTTCACTCTTGCCCTAATAAAGAGGTATTTAAAAATTATACTCACAGTGATTTAGGGAAGGTTTATTTGGAAGACAACAGTGCCTGCAATATGATAGGAAAGAGGGATGTGTATATCAAGTTCCAGAGGGGCAATGGTGATGGCTCAGGATAATATTGAGGACACTTTTTATCTAATCAATGAAATGACAGATTTCATTGATGTGTCTGGAACAAAGGTTGATGTAGGTCTGTGTCACCGTAGGCTTAACCATATGAGCGATAAAAGTATGCAATCCATACTCTCATAAACTTCAGAGTTTGAATACAATAAATATTAATTTCTGTAAAGAATGTATATATGACAGGCAAGAGAAAGTTTTTTTTGTAAAAATGGGCTAGTGGTGAAATCAAAGAAACTAGAATTAGTGCATACAGATGTATGGGGTCCCACTCAATTTCCAATTTCAGGTCTTTGAACGGTCCCACTAATTTGTCACGTTTATTGACGATCACACATGAAGAGGTAGAGTTTACAAAAAATTGGCGTAGTGGAAGTGTTTAAAAAGTGGAAGAGTATGATAGAAAATGAGATAGATTTGAAGTTGAAGTGTTTCAAATCGGATAATTGGGGCGAGTGTGGTCATCAAGAGTTCAGAAATTTCTGCGCTAAATAGAAAATTAGATATGAATTCACTGTCTCAAGGACATCACAGCTGAATGGTGTGACTTAGTGTGTAAATAAAACAATTACGGAGCGTGCCGGGAGCATGAGTTCGCATACAAGCTTGACTAAACAGTTTTGAGCTGAAGCAGTAAACTTTGTTATTTATTTGATTAACCGTGGTCCATCAACACCTTTGGAGGAAGACTCATTTGAAGAAGCGTGGAGTGATAAGGAGGTAAATCTATCTCATTTAAAAGTTTTTGAGTGTATTGCATATGTATATGTTGATGAGGGTTTAGAAGTAAATTTGACTTGAAATCTATCAAGTGCACCTTCATTGGATATCACTCATATCAACTTGGGTACAAGTTCTGGTTTCGACAGACTCATAAATTTATCAAGATTAGGAATGTTACATTCAATAAAATGATGTAAAAGGACAGAGTCAGAACTCAGAATAGACCGTCAGAATCCAAGTATGTTGAGATAGAAAACACTGGCGATAAGAATGGTGTATAAAGATGTGCTCAACTAGATGGAGCACAGAAAGTTCCTCAATTACCTATTACTGAGGTTGGGAGGTTCAATAAAGTGATGCTACCGGCAAAAATGTATTCTCTTTCGTTAAACTATTTACTGTTAATTGATAGTACTGAACCAAAGTGCTTTGAGGTGACCACTCAAGTTGAAGATTTAAGTGAGTGACATCTTGTCTTGGATGAAGAAATGCTGTCTTTGGAGTCAAATTGAACCTGAGATTGACATTATTATTAGATAGCAAAAGGGCATTATATAACAAATTGCTCAACAAACTGAAAGAAGAGTTAGATGATATCAGACGCTACAAGGAAAGCTTGTTGTGAAAGGTTTTCAGTAGAAGGAATGAGTGAAATGCATAGAAATTTTTTCTTCGGTGGTGAAGATGAAAACCTTCAGGTTGTGCTGAGTTTGGTAGCAGAGGAAAATCTATATCTAGAGCAGTTGGATGTAAAAACAATTTTCTTACATGGAGACCTGGAAGAGCATTTATACATGGTGCAATCCTGGGGTTATAAGATTTCAGATAAAGAAGGCTTAGTCTATAGGTTGAAGAAGAGTCTTTATGACTTAAAGTAGGCCTAGAGACAGTGGTACATGAGATTTGGCATGGTCATGTCAGAAAGTGAGTACATGAAGTACCAAATAAACAAATGTTGCTTCATCAAACACTTCGATAATTATTATATCTTGCTGCTTTTGCATGCGAATGATATAATGATTGCATGAGTAGATATGAAGAATATTAAAGACTTAAATGAATAATTATCAAGTGAGTTTGAGATGAAAGATTTATGTCAAATCAGAAAAATTATCAGGATGAGAATTAACAGGGACAGAAGTGCATGTACACTGAAGTTGTTTCAGATAGAGTATGTTGAGAAGATCCTGCAGAGGCTCAACATGAGTGAGGTAAAGCTAGTTTAGACCCCTTTAGACAGGTACTTCAAGCTATCTAAGCGGCTATCACCTAAGTCTGAAATAGAGTAAGCAAATATTAGGAAAACTTCATATGCTTCAGCAGTTTGATGTTTGATGTCTGATGTATGCTATGATTTGTACCCGATCAAATGTTGCATTTGCATTGAGAGTGATCAGCACGTACATGAGCAATTCAGGTAGATATCATTGGGAGACGGTGAAGTAGATTCTCATGTATTTAATGACAACAATCAACATGATACTTTGCTATGAAAGTGCGAGATCAGTCCATAGGAATTTGTTGATTCAGATCTGACAAGAGATTTGGATGATAGAAGAAGCACAACACGATAAATCTTCACTTTGGGGAATGGTGAGTTGGGTTTCCAATCTGCAAAAGATTATTGCATTTTCAACTATAAAAATCGAATGCATTGTTATTATTGAGGATAACAAGACGATGATTTGACTATAAGACTTTATGATAGTATTTGACAAAGTGTAGGGGATTGAAAAACTTCATAGTGATAGTATGAGTGCAATTTATCTTGCTAAGAATGTTGTTTTTTATGCTAGGATAAACACATTTAACTGAGACATCACTTTATACGCTATCTTCTAAAAGATAAATAATTGTTCTTGGAAAAGATACACACAACTGAAAGTCCTGCAAACATGTTGACGAAGGTAGTGAC